GGCAAAGCTCTAATGTAACATAATAAATGAATCCAATTTATTATGAATAATAATAAATAATAAATGATGATTCCACTTACACATCCTATTTTGCAGAATATATTTTCTTAATGCTTTGTTTCTGAAAAATATACTTTGGAATTATATATGCATAACTACTTTGAGCTCAGTTACCTGACTTGAAGATGTGCCATAAGAAACAAAGGTAATTATCAAAGTGCTCAGATTAGAAAGTCTTAGAGAGATGAGATGGGCAGTGTAAAGTTTGATATTATCTATAGAATGGATAACTTTATTTAAATTAGTAATGGGAAAAGGGGCCAGGAAAAACATGGTTACTTGGACACCTACATTCACATGCTGCGCGCGCGCACGCACACACACACACACACACACACACACACAGTTAAAAAACATTTTAAACTAAAAAAAAAAAGAACGCTCTCAGATGTTTTGATTGTTATAAAAATTTTCATCTCATGGGGCTGGAGAGATGGTCCAGTGGTTAGAGCACTGACTGTTCTTCCAGAGAAACCGGGTTCCATTCCTAACACCACATGGCAGCTCACAACTGTCTGTAACTCCAAGATCCGACACCCTCACACAGACAAACATGCAGGCAAAGCACCAATGCAAATAAAACAAACAAATAAATTATTAAAAAGTTTTTCATCTCTGAAGCATATGTTAAATATTCAAGTCTTCTAAAAAAAATAGATGGTTTTGATTTCTTGAGGGAGAATGGGGACTTACAATAACAGTTGATTTTTCAAAACAAAACAAACCCACTGAAATTCATGTAAAACCTCCCTGTATAGAAAATAATTCTAGCCAACACAGAGATAAGAAGCCATATGTACAGACACATGATATTTTCAAACAAGGATAGCCTATCCTTACATATATTAAGAGTTTGAATGTAAGTTGAAGAATATTAAATAGGGCTACTGCCTAAAGTATATCCAAGTGCATCACCAAGACCTGAACTTTAGGATTCATTTAGTCATGTTAACCTTTTTTTCATTAATGCAAGCACAATAAAGTATTATGTTATTGATCACTGTGAATTATTAAAATATCCCTAATGTACTGGTTTTTACATTTTTAAATAATCCATTTTTACTATAACATATCAAATAACAGATAGATGGAAACAAAAGATTAACAATTTCTGTATTCTTTCTCAACTTTATTGTTCAATACTCTACTGACTGCCCAAATTAATTAACTGATTAGTAAGCCAAGCATTTTCTAAACTGTGGATACAGCAATAAGCACAACAAAATCTCTGTCTTTGGGGACAAATATTCTGTAAGAACCAAAAGAGTAAGCAATAAATAAAAAATGAAGAAAGGGAGGTGCTGGAGAGATGACTCAGGTTTAGAGTACTTCCAGCTCTTCTAGAAGACCAGAATCTGGTTCCCAGCACATGTCAAGTGGCTCATATAACTCCAGCTCCAGGGGATCCAATACCCTCCTATGGCCTCCATGGGCACCCTCACACATATGGCATTACAAGCATACACACAGACACATTAATAAAAATAAAAAAATAGGAAGCTGGAGTGATGGCTCAGTGGTTAAGCAAGTACATTTCTTGTTCTTGCAGAAGACCCAAGTTTGGCTCCAGGTACCTACATGATGGCTCACTACCATCTGTAACTCCAATGCCAGGGGATCTGATATTCTTCTCTGACCTCCTTTGCTACCAGGCATACAACACACACATATATCTAGGCAAAACATTTATACATATAAAAGAAAAGTAAGTATTTTAAAAATAAATAAAAATAACTTTTTTTAAAGATGAAAAGACAGCCAGGTAATAGTGGCACAGACCTTTAATCCCAGCACTCAGGAGGCAGAGGCAGCCAGATCTCTGAATTCAAGGCCAGCCTGGTCTACAGAGTGAGTTCCACGACAGCAGGGCTACATAGAGAGACCCTGTCTCAAGAAAAAAAAAAAAGGCAGATAAGTAAAGGATCCAGGAAGTCCTAAGAGGTAACATTTGAGCAAAGACATGAATAAAGTGGGAAAAAGAGCTAAGCAGAAGAAAGGTATTCTAAACATAAGAAACAACAACAAAAATTCAGAAGCCAGTACATAAGAAGCAAAGTGAACAAGGAGCCATCTTCTTATCCCTTTATTAAAACTCTGCATTTACCCTGTGTAGTTGGAACTACCCACTAGATACAGTTAAATTCATTCATTCTATTTATTTTAGATTTCTAGGGATTTTCAAAGCATTAACTTTTGAAAGTGATTTCCATGGTTCCAAATTCAAGAATGCAGAGCAGGTATTCGAAAAGTCTTTTTTCTGGAGCTGGACATAGTGAGTTTCAAGATAGCCAGAGCTATGCAGAGAAAATCCATCTCAACAACAAAGTTCGGTTTCTGTTCTTGTTTCCTCCAACCTACTATTTCCTTCATAGATAACTATGAATCTCCTAGCAGTTCATTGTAATCCTTGGCTACACAGTAAGTTCAAGGCCAGGATACATGAGACCTTGTCAAGAAGGGAGGGAGGGAGGGAGGAAAAGAAATAAGAGAGAGAATGAGAAGAAGGGGGACAGACAGAGGAAGAAAGGGAAGGAGAGCGGAAAGAAGGAAAGAGGAGAGAAAGTGAGAGTGGGTGTGTAAGAGAGTGTGCACACTGGTAAGAATGTGGAGAGACTGGAAACCTTGTAATTTACTGTAGAAATATAAAATGGTACAGCCACTATGAAAAACAGTGTATCACTTTTAAGTACAATTATTATATGATCCAGCAGTATTTTGTGGTATTTGTCCAAAGGAATTCAAGGTGGAGACTCAAATGGGTAGTCATACACCTGTGATCACAGCAGCATTATTCACAAAGGCCAAGAGGTAGAAGCAACCCAAATGTCCGCCCCCAAGGAATGGTTAAACAAGTGTGATACATACATGCATATATACATGGATATTATCCAGCCCTACAAAAGAAGACCATTCTTACACATGCCCCAACCTGGATGAACTATAAAGACATCTGCTATGGGAAAGAAATCGGTTATTAACCAGGTGCTGTGGTGCACACTTGGGATCACAGCACTCTCAAGGCTGAGGCAGGAGGATACAAAGTTCTATGCCAGTATGAACTATAGGACTAGATCCAGTCTCAAAAGCACAAAACATGAACTTAAAAAAAAAAAAAAAAGGGTATGCTGTGAGATGGCTCAGTGAGACAAGCTGCTTGCTCACCTGTTGGTGTTTTTTTTCTCTTTTATTTGAGGGACCCGCCACCCAGCTTCCAAATAAATTCACACACGGAGGCTTATTATTACTTATGAATGCACAGCCTTAGCTTGGCTTAAGTTTCTAGCCGATTTTTCTTAATTTATCTCATCTACCTTTTGCCTCTTGGCTTTTCCCATTCTCTTACTTCTGTATATCTTACTCACTCTTTTTTCTTTTTCTTTTTCTTTTTTTTTTTT